ATCTACATGCTCTCAATCTTCTGCAATGGTCCCTGTGTGAGAAAACTGGAGCACTGTAACCAGATTCCACAACAGCAACAGAAGATAACAGCAACCTAGAGAGAATAACAAAAATTAAGATACAACAAGATTTTGATACAGGTAACAGAAGTTACAACAATCCTCAGGCCAGAGGAGGTTCCCAATCCACAAAGACCTTAGGGGTGATAAGACACATGGTTTAATGATACCAACATAGGCAAATCTTGTCCATCATAGGGTGCATGCAAGAGAGTGGTCCTGTGATAGGACTGTAGCAGGAAGGGGGCAATTAGGTGTATATACCATACTTTTACTCCTTTCCCTGTGGGGGTTACTGAAGGGTCTATATATAGTGCTACTGGAGGTGCGTGCACTGACCATAATGATTAAACTCCCTGATAAGATGCTCCTATCTCCTGGCAGTTCAGAATACACTACTGTGACCTTTGGGAGGCACTCTGCTGTTATTCCAGGAATACACAGGAGGCCAGCTTCCAGGCCTTGTCCCCAAGGTACCAAAAGAACCAGCTGTCGTTGGTCCATGTGTTGAAATGTCCAAGGCCATATCCACTCAATGGAGTCTCCAAGGTTTAGTGCGGTTGGTGCTGACAGCAAGATATTATTCTGGTGGCCAAATCTCGGCTTCAATGATTCTTCCTTGGTTTGTACTTGAAGTTTTATAGGGGAGGCAGCCATATGTGTTAACATGTCTATGGGGCTCAGGGCTCCCTTTCAGGGTTTCTCTTTCAAACATCGTAGCGCAGTCCATAAGCAGACTGACCATCCTGGCAGACTACTGGTATCTGACTTTAGTCTGAATTTTTTTTTTTGCTATCATTAATCTATAATTACATGAAGAACACTATATTTACCAGGCTCCCCTCCTCACCAAGTCTTCAGTCTGGATTTTAAGCCATTGTGCCTCTCTATCATGCCTGCTGTGGTAGGGTTGGATGGGACATGAAACTTCCATTTGATTCCCAACTGTCACACCCATTCTTGCAGTGCATGTCCAGTAAAATGTGTCCCCTGATCACTCTCAATTACCTGTGGTCAGCCATAGGCAGCAGAGAGATGCTCCAGGCCTCTTTTGGTAGTCTGGTGGTCTGCACAACGTGTAGGAAAAGCAACCGGAAGTCCAGTAGCTGTGTCCACACAAGTCATGGCATACCAATATCCTCTGACACAGGTAGAGGCCCAATATAGTCTGTCTGCCACCTTACAAGGGGTATCAGCCCCTTAGCTATTGTCGTATCTTGCTGTGGAACTCAGTGTAAGTTAATTTTAGATCATACGACACACTCCTGCGGGCTCTACTAACTTCTTCAAAGGCAAGCCCCACCAGTGGGCTACAGCCCACATTGTCTTTTGCCCTGCATGCAACAAATGCTGATGTAATCATTGGGTTATATCAGAGGCAGGTTTTCCTTCTAACCAATGTATCTGGGCCAATTTATCTGCTTCATCATTTCCTGGGGATACAGGTGGCAAATGACCTGTCATATGGTATACTGTAATTATTTTAGTCTGACTACAGGCCCATAAGTCTTGCCACAATCTTTCCCCCCAAAAGGGTTGGTGACCAACCAGCCAGTTGGCATGGTACTAGGTTGGTAGCCACAGGATCAAGTCCCAGTAGACAGCCCCGCTGTCAGTGCAGACTATAGGAGAGGGCTCCTGGCTGATCACAAGCCACACGGCCCACAACTCTGCTCATTGGCTGCTCTTCCCCTCACCATTTTCCATCCATATTGTCTCAGTCTTAGGATGAAAAGCTATAGCCCTCCATTTTGGGGGTTACCCCATGGCTGGAACCATCTGTGTACCATGCATCTTCCAGTATAAGGGCTCTTCCCTCCTGATAAGGACTCTCTGCTACTAATGGTTCTAAAGTAAATTCTTCCTGCTTTTCACTAGTATATGTCACCAGCCCCAATGAGTGTTGGAGTTCTTCACTCAAGGGGCTACTAGAGAGGGCACTGTGCTGCTGTAGGTAAGTACCCCACTTGGCCAGGGTAGGCGTTTGTGCCATACCACTCCTTGGCTTTTGGGTCCAATCTTGAACCCACCCTTATATGGGATAGGTGGTTATTACCTTTATCAGGGTCATTCCAGTTATGGGTTCTGTAGCCAGCAAGGTGTGATACACAGCAGCCAGTTGTTTTTCTATCAAAATGTATCATACCTCTGTCCTTTTCCAGAGTTGTGACCAGAATCCAATAGGTTGGCAAGTTCGTTCAAGCCTCTGCCAGAGATCGCAGCCATAGCCATATTCAGTGATGACTGTCCAGCTTACAGGGCCTTGATGGATCTAACATACTCAAGCCCTTCCTGGCCTTGATGCCCATTTTACTGTAGTAAAGGCAGATGCACATGTCTCATCCCAGTCCCACCTGGTACCCTTTTGTACCAACCGGTATAAGGGCTTCAGAATTTGTGCCAAGTGCAGGATAAACACTCTCTAGTAGCCTAGAAGACCCAAAAACTCCTGTTAACAATGCTACAGTTGTAGGGGTAGGAAAGGTCTGGACTTTTATCTATGATTGCTTCTAGTATAACTTTTGTCTTACCCAACCAGATGCCTCCTGCCAAGAATTTGACTGATAAACCAAGTCCCTGAACCTTGGTACTGTTCACAGCCCATCCTTTCTCCTGTAGATGTTGCAGCAATCTAGGTGCTGCACCTTTTAGATCTGAAAGAGAATCAGATGTGAGCATGACATCATCAATATAATGGTACAGCCATACCATTGGTGGTTTCTCCCATGTAGCCAAGTCCTGGGCTACAAGTCCACGACAGATGGTGGGGCTGGGGAGGTATCCCTGTGGAAGGATGGTGAAAGTCCATTGCTGTCCCTCCCACATAAAGGCAAACTGTTCCTGACTTTCCTGCTCAATGTCAGTGGAAAAGAAGGCATTAGCACAATCTACCACATAGTGGTATGTTCCCAGTTTGTGGCCGAGGGTATCCATCAGGTCTGCAATGGAGAGGAGCCATTTGGCTTTTTTACTGGTCACATTGGGGAATTGAAAGGACTATGGGTGGGCTTTATAATACCCACCTTTTCCAGTTCCTGGAGGGTTTCTCTAATTTCTTTATGCCCTTCAGGCAGTTTGTATTGTTTGGTATTAGTCACCCACGGAGGCACAGGCAAAGCTATGGGCGGGTGCCTAGCATGCCCCTCAGAACTGCTGTCACCTCAATGCGTCGCCGCTGGCGTTCTTGTGCTGCCACCTCCTGTGCTTCGCTCAGGAGTGCGTTTTTTTCCTTTACGGCCTTTTCCTCCTTCAGAGCACCTGATGGCACTGCTGTTTTGTTCTGTAAGGAATCTTTTACCTCTTCAACGGCACCTTGCTGCCGATGTTCTTGTGCTGCCTCCTCTCATATCAATGCTATTTCATCCTTCAGTGAATCCACAGAAGTTTGCAGCTCGTGTTCTCGTGCGGCCATTTCTTGTGTCTTTTTTCGGGAGCATGTTTCTCTCATCTGTAGACTTTTTTAATACTGTGAGAAGCAGCCAACCCACAGTCCTCGCTGTCTCACAGGCACTCTGCTCCTCAAAAGACCTACTTACTATACCAAGGGCTATCCCTACTGCCTCAGGTATCACCTCCACTTGCCTCCAGTCCTGGGGCAGGGCCCAGCCCTCTAAGAGGCAAGCCACCTCAGACCGTATACCCATTGGGGAACAATCCACTGTCTCCCCATTCATAGGGGCAGCCTGCTGTAGCACCCCTCCCATAAAGACAAACTGTCTTTTTCCTTGGTCAACAATGAACCCTGCGGACTATTGCCAATTGTCTTGCCAATGGGTTTCAGCCTTGGGCAAGTTCACTATGGGTTCAGTGTGACCAAAGAAATGACAGTAGAACGTTCTTGGGTGAAAGGGCTTATTACCTGGCTTGTTCTCCCAGCAGTAGGTCAAATACTAGTGTCTCTGCCTCTGCCCAGAACACTGGGCTGAGCTCTCTATATAGTGCAATAATAGCTTATTACCTAAAGGTGTGGAAGTGGTAGCCTAGGAACAATCCAGTTACATCATCAGGTGATTTAAGTTCAGTGAGGATCCTGGCCATAGTACCCCCAACTTCCAACACCCAGCCACGACCTGACCACTGTCCCATCCCTTCAATTAAAAGCCTCCACAGGAAAACACCTCAGTTTCCGCCTAGCAAAACTTTTTTTTTTGGGGGGGGGGTCACATGGCACCCTGGGTCAGGCAGCAGAGGGCTCTGGCCAGGAGGTGGGGCTGGAGATGGAGAGGTTGGGGGTATGTTATTCAGAAGCTGGGCTTGGGTAGTGATATGGGGTGGGACAGATCCCCTGAAAAGGGGCCCTGAAGAGGGCAAGAATATTGAGTATCTACATGTCTCCTATATCAAGAAAATCAGCACACAGGAACATTTTCAGGAGTATGCATGCTACACCTCCAGGAGTTCCCAGGCTCAATGAGGGGAAAACTGCAGGTGGCTGTGGTATTTTCCATTAGTAGAGGAGCAGAAGTCTATATTCAATTGAATTTGAAAACAGGTGTTCCAACAAAAACTTGAACACAAATGCCAAAGTTCATAGCAGCTCTATTCACAATAACCCAAGGGTGGAAACATCCAGATGTCCATCAACTATTGAATGTATAAACAAAATGTGGTAAATGCGTACAGTGGAATATTATTCAGCCATTAAAATGAATGAATCTTGAAACATGCAAGGAGAGAGAAGTCAGTCACAAAGGACATCATATTGTACAAAATATTCAGTATAGATAAATCTATAGAGACAAAATGAAAAGTGGTGATGGCCGGAAGGCGGGCAGTGGGGAGGGAAGGACCTGCTAAGGGTTCTGGTTTCCCTCTGAGGTGATGAAAAGGTTCTGGAGCTAGATAGTGGTAATGGTTGTACAGCACTGTTAATATATATACTTAATTGTATTTAAAAATGACAGATTTTATGTTATAGATATTTTACAATTAAATAGCCCTTATAGTGTTTCTGGGATTCCCGCACCTAGTCGTGCGAAGAGGGGCGGGGCGTCGGGGCTCCCGGGACTGGCCGCGAGCCTCGCTGCGGGCGGAGGCGCCGCGGGCTCGGACCGCGCGGGCGGCAGCAGCGGCGGGATGCGGCCCGGGCGCGGCGCCCCCAGACGTCCCCGGGCCGGCAGAGCGGCGGGAGGCGCAGAGGCGGGCGGGCGCCATTTGCAGCCCCGGGCGCAGCGGCTGCGGCGCGCCGGCTCCGAGGGGCTGGAGACGGTCACAAAGGAGGAGGCGCGGGCGGGCGGGCGGCCGGCGGAGGACGCGGCCTCGGGGCGGCGGCCCGGGAGGCCCGCTGGGAGAGGCGGGCGGCGCCGGGGCGCACCGGCTCCCGGACCCCGCGGCCGCCCCTCCTCGCGCCCGCCTGGTCGCCGGGCCGGCCGCGGCGCGGGGAAAGGCGGGAAGGCGCGCGGAGCCTCCTGGCGGCGGCGGGAAGGCGGCGCGGGGACGGTGCCCGGCGCGTGTGGAGGCGTCGGGCGCCGCGGACTCCCGGAGGGTCGGCGGCCCGCGGGGCCCGGGCTGCGCGCCTGGGGGAGGGCGGGCGGGCCGGCTTCTTTGTAGACCCTCCGTGTTTGGTCTTGCGTGTGTAATGTTCGGTAGATTTGGGTTATGCGTTCCAGGCAGGACGATCGCAGGCGTGATGCTGTTTTCTCAACGCGTCCTATCAAGTGGCGCAGTTTGAGCTCCTCAGTTTGCCTCGTTACTGATGATGTGCACTTGGTCCGTGATTGAGATGTCTGCCAACCTTCTCCACTGCAGTGACACGCTTTCCTTTGTAACTAAAAAGCATTAAATAGGGATGTCCTTTGAAACGACAGAAATCGCCCATTTCTCATCAAACCTTTAAAATTTTTTACTCATTTAATTTTAATGTAAGGACTCCTGGTTTCCTGTTGTATTTATTGGGCTAGACTCTTTTGCTATCATTTATTTTAATGCTCCAATTGTCCCAGATTTAGCCTGTGAAGGACCCTTCAAGCCAGCTTTTGTGTCCATTTCGCATGTCCCTATCCTTGAACACTTGCTTTCTTGCACAAGATGTTCCAGGCCCATCTTGTACTTTATCTTTGCTCCAGCCCTGGAATCATATACTTCTTCTCCAAGGAGCCTTGCTTCTCGTAGGTGGAGAGCCCTTATTTAGAATCCAAGATCTAGATAGATGCTAGGTGTGCTCAGCTTTTAAAATGTGGCTGCTTTCATGCCCTGTCAGTGGACATTTCCGTAGTAAGATAGAGAAATAGGGTGATAGACTGATGTGTAGTATAGATAATATATAGATTGCTCTATAGATAACTAACTCCAAGTCCAATCACACCACAGGATTCATTCTCATTTTTTCCCTCATCATTTTTGGTATATGTGTTGTTAAGATGAACACTGCCACATTTATTCTTTCAAAAACTTTTATTTCCATCATTAAAGTAAAATATTCCCATCAATAAAATATGATACTACCAAAAAGTATAGGGAGGAAAATCAACCAATAATCTCAGCATAAAACTACAAATATATTTCATAGATTTACTTTCAGTCTTTTCTTTATGTGTAGGTCTCCCTTTTTTTTTGAGTTATAGGAAATCATACTGTAAATACCATTCTGTACCCTGTTTCTTTCACTCAATTTTGCAGGTATAGGCAAATTACAGCCCACAGGCCAAACCGGGCCCACTGCCTGTTTTTGTCCGTGAACTAAAATTGTTTCTAAAATTTTAAATGGCTGAAACAAAATTAAAAAAAGAATTTTTTGTGACATGTGAAAATCATATGAAATTCGAATATGTGTCCATAAATTAAGTTCCACTGAAACACAGTCATGCATATTCATTTATATATTGTCTGTGACTGGTTTTCGCTACAACAGCAGAGCTGAACAGCTGTAAAAGAGACATATTGCCCTGCAAAGCACAGATTATTTGCCCCTTTACAAAAGAAAAGAGAAAAAAAAGCCAACCTCTGGCAAACTATATCTTAATCACATTATTAAATTGGGTGCTAAATCTGTGCTTTGAAATCTTAGGGGAGTGACAGCGATAATATTTAGCATATTTTAAGTGCTTAATAAAGGAATTTCTTCCAAAGAGTTCAGGAAGGGAAGGGAATAGGAGGCAGAAGAAGAAAAAGAAGGATGGGCTTTAGATACGTCTATTTTCGGGAATCTGCTAAATTTATTATTTCCAACCAGTGGAAAGGATGTCTTCACTAGTCGTTAAAGATGTCTTTCATCAATCTTTCATGGCTAAAATAATAGCTTCTTAAATGTTCTTTTAAAAAGTTATTTGGAACTTGATGATGGGGGAAGTCTAGTAAACATAATGTTGCTCATGTAATTGTAGATTAATGATACCAAAAAAAAAAGTTATTTGGGGCCAAAATAATTTTGTTGCTACCAAATTAGTAATCTATCTAATTTAAGCTAGCTTTCCTCTTAGCTTTCCAGCAGCTTTGTTGAATTTTTAAGATGGCTTCATAACAAATGTGGGAAAATGGGAAGGAGCTGAAGAGGCCTCTCCTACCTCTGTCCCCATCCACCACCCCTAGCCCCAGCCGTGTGGTCTGAGCAAGGATATATGCCGAGACACCTTCCATTTAGATCTCTGACCAAAGGACAGTCATGAGTTTATTATTTTTATTGTTCATGTCTGTTGTTTTTGAAAGTGGCAATAAACTCAGTTTTTTTAAATGAGTAAAAGATGTGAACTTCACCGAAGAAGATATTTGGAAGGCAAATAAGTGTGTGAAAAGATGCTCAATAGCACTAGTCATTAGGAAATGCAAATTCAAACCACAACGCAAAGTAAAACCACCACATACCTATTAGAAGGGCTAAAAACAAACACAAAGTTAAACCTGAGACTACCAAGCACTGGCCAGGACACAGACCACTGGAACCCTCATGTTGCTGGTGGGAATCCAAAATGGTACAGCTACTCTAAAAACAGTTGGTAGGTTTTTTTTATAAAGCTAAATGTATACCTAGCCTATGACCCCAAATCCTCCTGTATATTTGCCCCAGAGAAATGAAAACTTAGAGCAGTTTTTTTTATCAGATGCCCCAAATTGGACAGAATCCAAATGTTTTCTTCATCTTATGAATAGATAAATGGGTGGTACATTCACACAATGGAATATTACTCAGCAATTTAAAAAGAAGGAACAGTTATATGCAACAACATGGATGAATCGCAAATGCATTATGTTAAGTGAGAGAAACCAGACTCAAAAGACTACCTCCTAATGGTTGAAATGGCAAGTTTTATGTATACATCTATTATCACAATTAGAAAAACAACAGACTCAAACCCTAAGATTCCATTTATGTCATTTTGGAAAAAGCAAAGCTATAGGGACAACAGAGAACAGATCAGTGGTTGCCAAGGTATGGGGTGGCAAGGGGGAGGGCAGGTTAACTACAAAGTTTCTGCATAAGAGGTTTTTGGGGGTGGGTAAGAGAATAGATCTGTATCTTGATTGTAGAACTAGTTACATGACTATGCCTTTGTGAAAACTCAGAACTGTACATGAAAAAGTGAATTTTACTGTATGTTAATTTAAATTAAAATTTCTAGTGGCCTTATTTAAAAATAAAAAAGATTAACATTAATATTAAAATTACATTAATATTTTTATTTCACTAAAATATTCAAAATATTATCACTCAACATGTAATCAACATAAGAAATTATTGAGCTATTTTACATTCTTCATACTAAGTCTCAGGAATTTGGCATGTATCTTATATTTACAGGACACCTTAATCTGGACCAGCCACATTTCAAGTGCTCGATAGTTACATGTGCCTAGAGACTACTATAGGGGACAGTGCATCATGATCTGAGAGTCAAGGTAAGTGTTTCCAGCCTTGAACAGCTATCATTAAATAAATAGAATATTTCCACCAAATGGAATATGTTACTTAAAATATCACACTTTAAAAATGAAAAGTTATAAAAATGTTAACTCAGGGGAGTCATATTCTTACTAATGCATCCAAACTGGCATCATCGTCAAAGGTGACCTCACCCTCTTGCATCTTCTGGAACACTCCCTGAAAATGCCATTCCCTTTCATGTTGCATTTGCTCCTATTCTCTTCTGCCCTCTTATCTCTTCCTCACTCCACACACCCACAATAGTAATTGTGGGTGGTAAGTTTAGCAGATGCCTGAAATGTTTTAGCTAATGCCTGAAAATAGGCATGTCCACCCTGGTGAAACTTCCTTCTTTAAGACCCAGTCCCAGTGGACCTTTCCCCCAAATCCTTGCTCCATGAGGACAGGAACCACACCTTATGCCTTATTCGTTGCATATTGGGCCCTCAACTGTTCTTTCTTCTAATGTTTATTGAGTATCTCTAGGTGCTGGAGATGGAAACCTGGGTGAATGAGATACAGCCCTGCCCCCATGTGGCTTGGTGGGAATGACAAATTAAAGAGGTCCTTTAATACAGTTTGCCAAGTGCCAAAGCACAGTGCTGTAAGGAACGACGTTTCCTGTACAACCTCTGAGGTAGTACCTTTCCTTTTCCCTGTAAGAGGTCACTGTAGAAGTCAACGCAGGGCAGGCCTCCTGTGCCAACTCGTCAGATGTTGGCTGAGTTTTATTTGGCAGGGAACTTAAGTGGAGGTCACTGGGGGAGACTACAGATGTTACACATCCATTGTCTCTTTTCCTTTACACTAATATTATAGTGCAGGTACATCCCCAGCAGATTCGTCCCTTGGTGAACACCCCCCAATAGGTTCCACCCATGGAAACCACTGCCTGCACCACTATAAAGAAACAATTCTCCCACAGTAGCAATCCTGAGGGCTATGTTCTTGGGTCAGCAGCCTCATCTGCCAATCCTCTTGAGGCCTCAGCCATCAAACAATGCACGAAGAAGTCAGCTGTCTCAAGCCCCAGGAGCCCCAGATCTAGTCCTTCTAATATTCTTCTGAATTTTGCTTTCAGAAGTGGGAAGGAGCAGGAAGAGATTAGCTAAGGCTAACTGCACATCATTTATTTCCAACTCCTAAGAAGAAAAGACATTTCTGAAGGGAGGAGATGGTGGTGGTGATAGTATCGCTGCTGGCAGGTGCTATCCCACCTCTCCACCAATTCTCCACCAGTGCAGAGTGCTTTGTGTATAAACACCTCCTCTTTTAAAATGCAAACAAACTTGCAGAAATTTAAACATCATTCTTAAGTTGGTGTGAAGCATTGTAGTAAAATAATCAGATTGACATCCTGAGTTAGGGAGTGAGAGTTTTTATTATAATCTGGGGGAAGAAGAAAATTATGGGTGGGAGGACTAGAAGGAGGCAGGAGGATGGGACAGTTATAGAAATTTTGTATATAAATAAATTTAAAATAAAAAGTAAAATTTTACTTTATTCAAATAAAACCTCATGACTTCATTTCATTCAAAAGTTTGAATCCTACATCAGCTGAATGATTTTTTTAAAATTAAAGTATCATTGATTTATATTCTTATGTTGGCTTCAAATATACAACACAGTGGTTCAGCAGTTACTCATTAAATCCTCACCCCCTCTAGGGCCGTTACCATCTATCAACATAGTAAGATATTAAAAATCACTTATTATATTCTCCATGCTGTACTACCATCCCCGTGACCAACTTATATTGTGATTAGATTGCAACTGATTTTTAAAAATTTTATTGTTGGCTGATTGGTAGGTGGCAAACAAATCTACTCCCCAGAAAAAAATGATTCTTCCTCCCTCTGAATGCTCATAATCAACAATACTAAATTCAATGCCAACTATTTACCAGATCATGCAGTAGATTTCTAGAGCTTTTGAATCTTTTGCATTTAGCATATTTCATCTTATATTATGGTTGAGAAAAAGATCATGAATTTAAAAATCTCCCCCAAAATAGTGACTGTAATGGGGTATGTGGTGGGGACTTGATAATAGGGGGAGTCTAGTAACCATAATGTTGCTCATGTAATTGTACATTAATGATACAAAAAAAAAAGATAATAAAACAATCTCCCCACAAGTAGTGCTGGCTTTTCTCCTGTGGGATGGTGAGCTACCTCAGCAGGGAACAGTTGCTCATTTAAAATATTCCAGTTATCTTTGTAGCACTAGCATCTAGCTCAGTGCTTGGTATATAAGAGGTGCTTAATAAATGTTTGTTGAATGACTAAACGACCTTCCCACGCTCATCACCCTGAAGGCAAGAAGGGTGATGTAGAGACATGGAGAATTAAGCCACTGAGATCTCCATGCAAGAATTTGCTGCCAGTTTCCAACTGTTAGTGCCTTTGGTTGCTTCAGCTTTCCAAAAGCCCAGCCCAACATGGGACTCCTCTGTCCAGCAATGTTTGTTTGCTCCAGAGATTCCCAGTGGAGTGGCAGAGGCTTTGTCACTGACTGATCTCTTCTTGGTCCCACTTCCTCTCCCTTCCCTCGTGGGTGTTACTCCCCATTAATCCTGTTATACTCCCAACTCTATCTCAGCATCTCCTTCTTAGAAAACAAACCTATGACAAGAGACTTTAGTCTTAAATGGATTCACTGTAGATTAGTATTAAAATCCCACATAATTGTAGCTATAAACCAAAGCTGAGTAACTGCATAGGAGGTAATGATAATAGTAAATATTTTCTTGGTGCTTTTGTACAAGGTTACTTTGCCAAAATTACACGTTTTAATTTTATTGTAAAAATGAGTACCAAAATAGCCAGAAAAGGAAATGTATATTATTAAGCATTAAAAAGATTATTCCACTTAAAATTAACATTGTAAAATGTAATACAAAGCTACAGTAACTAAAAGCAGTATTAGCACATCAATGAATAACAAATGAATAGAACAATTCACATCTAGGAAAAAAATCTCTTGAATACATGTAAATTTAATATCTGATAAAAGTGACTTTTTAAACCTATAAGGAAAGGATGACTTATTCCATAAACATCATTGGGACAATTGGATAGCTATATAGGAAAAAAAACTAGATCTTATATACATCAAAATAAAATTTAGATGGATTAGCATTCTAAACATATAAAGACAGAGTTAGCAAAGTATTAAAGGAAAATAAAGGATAATATTTTATAATCTTGATATGAGAGAATCTTTCTTAAGAAGGAACAAAAGCCCAGAGACCATAAAAAAAAAAGGATGGACAGGTTTTACTACATCAAAATAAAATGTTTTATAGAATGAAATATATTATAAATGAAGTTAAAAGATAAGGGAAATTGACCCTCCTACACTGCTGGTGGGAATGTAAATTAATTCAACCATTGTGGAAAGTAGTATGGAGGTTCCTCAAAAAACTAAAAATAGAAATACCATTGACCCAGGAATTCAACTCCTAGGAATTTACCCTAAGAATGTAGCAGCCCAGTTTGAAAAAGACATATGCACCCCTGTGTTTATCGCAGCACTATTTACAATAGCCAAGAATTGGAAGCAACAAAAGTGCCCATCAGTAGATGAATGGATGAAGAAGATGTGGTACAGATACACAATGGAATATTATTCAGCCATAAAAAGAAAACAAATCCTACCATTTGCAACAACATGGATGGAGCTAGAGGGTATTATGCTCAGTGAAATAAGCCAGGAGGAGAAAGACAAGTACCAGATGATTTCACTCATCTGTGGAGCATAAGAACAAAGCAAAAGCTGAAGGAACAAAACAGCAGCAGACTCACAGAACCTAAGAATGGACTAACAGGTACCAAAGAGAAAGGGACTGGGGGAAGTGGTGGGATGGGAGGGAGAAGGGGAATAAGGGGCATTACGATTAGCACACATAATGTAGGGGGGGCATGGGTAAGGCAGTATAGCACAGAGAAGACAAGTAGTGACTCTATAGCATCTTACTATGCTGATGGACAGTGACTGTAATGAGGTATGTGGTGGGTACTTGATAATGGGGGGAATCTAGTAACCACAGTGTTGATCATGTGATTGTATATTAATGATACCAAAATAAAAAAAATAAGAGAGCAGAATTTCTATGAAGTATATTAATTGAGAAAGCATGATGTTAGTAAAGGAATGAATTTATTAATGCATTATAACAGAGAATCTAGACACAAACACATGTGAACTCTGGCAAATGATGAGGTTGTATATCAGATCAGTGGGGAAAAGAACTGTTAAATGACTGGAACTGGAGTGAATTGCTAAATCTATATGTTAGTATATGTTAATTCCCTACATGTTAGTTCCCTATTCCACACGATTTGTAAAAATAAAAACCCTACATTAATGGTTAGCAAATAATGACCCAGGGGCCAAATCCAAGCCAGTGCCTGTTTTTATAAATAAAATTTTATTGGAATTTAAAAAAAGATAAGGGAAATTGGAGTCATAGATTTGGCAAACACATAACAAAGAAAGGATTAATATAGAAAATACATAAAGAACTTAAGAAAAAGCCAAAATATTTCAACAGAGAAAAAGGACAAAGGCTATGGACAGGAATTTACAAAAGACATGTAACACCTAATATCACATGAAAAGGTATTCAGCCTCACTGGTAAGCAGGATGCAAATCAAAACCATAGTTATTATTTTTTTTTTGTATCATTAATCTACAATTACATGAGGAACATTATGTTTACTAGACTCCCCACATCACCAAGTCCCCCCCACAAAACCCATTACACTGTCCATCAGCATAGTAAGATGCTATAGAATCACTACTCATAGTTATTATTTTTTTAACCAATCAAATTGGTAATCAAAATTATTCATAATACCCAGTTTTGATGAAGCTGCAGGAAAATGAGCTCCCTGATACACCATTTGTGAGAGTGCAAATTGGTAGTCTTTTTTGAAGGGCAATTTGTCAGTATGTCAACATTTTAAATATACATGCTCTTGACCTAGCAATTCTTCTTCTAGGGAATCTCTTACAGAAATGTGGGCAAGCAAAGGGGAAGGGAATATGGACGTTAAGTGGGGAGATTAGAAATAGGTTGAACCCGCAAGCAAGAGATAGCACTCCACAGGGATGGACTGGAACCCACGTCAGTTTTCAGTGCCTCCAATCTTGCTGA